AAAGAATTTATGACTAAGACCCTCAAAAGAAAATACAACAACAAAAGTACATAAATAGACCTTAAACTAAAAGTTCTGCATAGCAAAAGAATTACAAACAACAGCAATCTACAAAATGGGAGAAAATATTCCCAAACTATATATCTGATGAAGGACTAATATTCAGAATCTATAAGGAAAGCAAACAAATCAGCAAAGAGAAGAAACAAAAAACCAAATAACCCCGTTAAAAAGTAGGCAAAAAGATATGAGCAGGCATTTTTCAAAAGAAGTTATACAAATGGCCAAGAAATATGAAAAAATGTTCAACATCACTAATCATCAGAGAAATGCAAATTAAAACCACAATGAGACACGCCCTATCCCTGTCAGAATGGCCATTACTAAAAAGCCAAAAACAATAGATGTTGGCACAGATGTGGCGAAAAGGGAACACTGTTGGGGGAATGTAAATTAATACAATCTCTGTGGAAAACAGAATGGAGATTCCTCAAAGAAATAAAACTAAACTTACCATGCAATCCAGCAATCCTACTACTGGGTATCTACCCAAAGGAAGAGAAGTCATTTTATCATAAAGACAGTATCTGTATGTTTATTGCAACACAATTCACAATTGCAAAGATATGGAATCAACCTAAGTGCCCATCAACTGATGAGTGGATAAAGAAAATGTGGGGTGTATACACACACACACACCATGGAATACCACTCAGCCATAAAAAGAATGAAATAATGTCTTTTGTAGCAATCTGGATGAACCTGGAAGCCATCATCCTGAGGGAAGTATCTCAAGAATGGAAAAATGAATACCGCATGTACTCACTTGCGAGAGCTAAGCAATGGATATACGTAGCCATACAGGGTGATACAACGGACTTCGGAAACTTAGAAGGGGAGAAGCTTGGAGGTGGGTAGGGGATCAAAAATTACCTATTGGGTACAATGTATACTATTTGGGCTACAGGTACACTAAAAGCCCTGACTTCACCACTATACAATCTATCCATGTATCAAAAAACCACTTGTACCCCCTCAATCTATTGAAATAAAAATAAAATAATAATTAAACAAGAAACTCCTTGAAAACAGCATGGACATGAGCTTTTGCCCATCACAGCAGACTTACACAATGTGTGCCTGTTGCATTAGCAACCCAGCACAGTTATTCTAGCCTTGGCATCCTTAATTCCTACGGTGGCTTTTTCATCAGCTATAGTCAGTATTTTTCTGGAGCAGTAACACCAACACAATTATGTTTCCTCAGCATTATAGACTTGTTTTGGTATCAGATTTTCATCAGTGATGACCTTGGCAAACTCATCAATGAATTCCTTCACTGATGAGGGATCAGAAGATGCTTTACACCAAAAATCTTTCAAATTTAATGTCATGTCTTTTCTTAAATTCCTGCAACCAGTCTGGAGTATTCACAGTTCCCTTTAATATTTAGTTCATCGTGATAGAGCTTTGCTTGTTTCATGATCAGAAAACCATTACATGGTGTGTGTTCACTCCAACACTGACAAATCTACTTTTCTATACTATGGAGATCTTCATTTTTAGACTTATTCAGTATTTTTCTATTTTTCATTAACTTCATCCCTGTCAGCCTAGAACTTCAAGATTGTATCCTTCTGTTTCTTCAGGTCATACATGCTGATCATCTGAACACCATACTCTTTTGTAAGGCATCCCACACTTACACCACTGTTCAGTTTCTCCAAATTCCATGCTACAGATAAACAAATGCTTCCTTTTTTCTTATCATTGTTACTAATAGGGGTATCTGCAGGTCTTTTTGACATTTTCAACAATATGTTTCCAGTACAGAGCAGAAAGTATGCAAAAAACCCACAAAAAACAAAAACAAAATCCCTGTAATGCATCTAGGCATTGATCCTATGTGGGACACTGTGGAGAGCCTGCCTGTGGTGCGTCCAGCCTGCACATGCCATTTTACTACCCTCTGTGGGCTTGTTTGTGTAGATGAACGTGGAGATGCACGGAAAAGTTATAGTTGAAGGGGACTGGGAAGGTCTTTTTTTCCCTAGGGGATGCCGAATAAACTGCATCATGCGCCTGGGTTTTAACTGCAACCTGTCACATGAGATTAAGTGTGGAATTTTCCACTTGTGGTGTCACGTTTGTGCTCAAAATGTTTCACATTTTGGAGCATTTTGGATTTTGGACTTTTGGATTAGGGATGCTCAACCTGTATATAAATACATAGTGTACACAAACACACACACACTTTATACATTATATTTATATTTAGCATCCTAAGGCCTCATTTGAATACAAGGACCTTGGGGACACTTTACTTCTGATTACCCTTCCTGTTTTACTTGCTAATGTTCTTCAATGTTTAATCTTGTAACTGACTATATTAGACATCATTTACCAATAAGTTGTCTCACCTTTAAAAACAACAAAGCCTCATTAGATTTGGAATGAAATCTTTGCTAAAATTCTGATACCAACCATATTTTATAAATACACAGACTAAACTCATCTGGCAAATCAAATGGTGAGGCTTAACATTAAGATTAGTCAATTAAATGTATTAACAGCTTTTGCAAAACTACAGGCCTTCACATAAAAGGAACAGAGAGCACAATCCTCACAATCTTCATTTTTGGGTTTCTGCAGTAACTATTCAGAATTATTATTTACTTCCTCTATTTACTTCCTCTAATCCAATCTCCATGCTACAGCCTAAGTGATTTTTCTAAAGCATACTCTAATATAATACATTTCCAAACTGTTAATCACAGAACAAATTCCCAATTCCTTGGCATGGTTTAAAGGTCTTTCAAGATCAGGCCCCTCTCTTGCTATCTGGCTTTATGCAAACTACATACTATGCTCCTTCCAGCTATATGATTATATTACTATGCTATTCTGTCACACTTTGTGCCTTTATAAATGATGCTAACTCTTAACCTTTAACACTTCAATGACACCGAGAATCTTCCTGGACACCGGCAGGTAGTAAGTTATTTCTCCCTCCCTGCCACTAATGTGTGTTCTTAGCACTTGGTTGCAGAATTCATTTAAGTGCTTGGTTCAGATTTACCACTTACTTATTGCATGTGACCTACACATCTTGGCTTCTTTGTCTAGTGAATTGGGTTACTAGTACTTATCTCAGAAGGTTGTGAAACAGATATATGAAACCTGCCCCAGGAATTAGTCCAAAGGTTCCAAAAATATTCTCTTCACTTTTATACAAAACTTTCAGTTCCCAATATGTGCAAGATGTCAGGGATACATAAAAGACGAACAAACCATAGTTCCTCTGCTCAAGGGGCTCACAGAACAGCAGAAAAATATCCTGCACTAGCATCACACTGTATAAAGATTACTCACTCAATATTTTCTGAACGAATGGTCAACATATGTAAAAGATACAATACAATTTTAGAAAGTTTTATGAGCATAGACTTAAAAAGAACAAATGACAACTTCCAGAAACTGGTATCGGATTATAGGTTACATTCTGTGTTCAAAGATAATTAAAAACATAAATCAGCCTGTTCAAATGTTGGTTATGACTTTTGCATAAGATATTATTTAAAAGAATGAGCAGTCAGTAGTATAAATTGAGTTTCAACTAAATTCAGACAAAAATGCTCAATATATTAACTCTAGCACATACAAAAAATCAAGATGTCTACCCAAGAATATAATAAAACACTTATAAAATAGTTGTCATAGCCATAAAGTTTATTTAAAAAATTGTTAAAAACTAACCATACAGGAATATTTATTAATAATATACTTAAAAAGGTTGTTCCCTATTTTGAAGGAAAATACATTAGCAACATCTTCCAGACACCATTTTTATAAAAGTAAAACTTCTAGATGCTGAAATGTACTACAGCAGATTCTATAGTTTACACTTTTAATCACAGGATTGGAATTCATTGTCCTTACTCCCCTACCCCCCCAAGTGTGGCAGTAATTATTCTTATATTAATAACATTCAATCATATTATACTACCACAGATCCTTAAATACAGTAAACACTGCATGTTTACTAACAGAGTGAGACTTCTCTATTTATTGTCACATAATTACTTCAGATAAGCATTTGACTTTAAGTACAAATAGAAATACTACATCCCATGATTGTAAACATTCACCAAGAGCTTCCAGAGTAGAATGAGTAATAGAGGTGGCCCGAGAGTCAGTCAAGTGTTCCTCATTCATTTGGATACTGCTGAGATTAGGAAAAATGTTTTGAAGGCAAATTATCACAAGCCTTACTTGTATTTCTGTAAGAAAGTAGTTCTGGATATATATTTTTAGTCGAAAACACCTGAAAGTCATTCTAAAGACTATATTAAGCACCATTTTCACTTACCTGAAATATACTGAGTTAAATTCAGCAGTATGCATGATTGTTAATATCAGAAATTAAAAATAACTGTGGGTCTCAAGCTCCCTTTTGTAGATACATATGCAATACTGCTAGTAGGAACCAGTCATGCATACCAAGGGCAGTAACTCCCCCAGGGCCACATGCAACCCCTAAGTCTGAGGCACAGCTATTACTTCTGTCAATGGATGCTATACAAGCAGATTTAAGGCTGTATTCGGCTATAAAGAGTTCAATTTACTCTTTAATATTCTTTCTACATAGATCACATACATGATTCAAAATTTTGTAGGATAGGAGATGAAAAGTCCCCAAATGCTTTTCAAATACTATTCTCCATACAATTTATTGTCAGCATATTTACATGGGGGAGTGTTCAGACTTAAAACCAATTAACCACTTCAGTACCAGCGTCGACTATAGTCGTCAGCCACAGATGAATGAGCACGTCAACTTTAGCCGACAGCCAAAAGCTTCTGCTTTTATCTCTGTAGTTGCAGTGTATACGTTCAGCTAATAAGTTACTATGAATCTGTGACCTTTTAACAAGTCCTTAGTAGGAGTTATTATCCTAAAGCTGCCTGTAAAATAAAACAAGCTTTCAGTGCTTTAAAGCTTTCCTCATCACACAAGAGCAAAACGGATTCGTCAATGCACAGCACAAACTATCTTGCAGACTATGAGTGCCGGCCGGGGGCAAGGTTTGGTGGCCGGTGAGCGCGGTACCAAAGTGGTTAAAAAAATGCAATCATGATTTTCAAACTCTTGTCACAATGTCCCCAGGATTATCTTTACTCTCATTTTCTGACTTTTGGCCAACTTCACATTTGTCAGATTGTTCACTGGAGTCCTTAGGCAATTCCGATGTTGCTGTGAAGGAGACTAGAGGTTAAAATATAATCACTGCCATCCGCTTTGGGACAGGCCTGGTTGCAAAGAAAATGGTGTTCCTGGTGCTGAAGGATAACTAGGAAACCCATCAGGCTGAGCTGGATAGCTTTCCAGGGCTGAAGCTGAATGGACCTGATAGAGAAAAGAACACGTAGTTTAGCAAAGCGCCAAGTTCAGTCAAGTCTGCATTTGCTTGTGCCTATGCCACACTCTAGATATTCAGAACAGGAAAGAAAGAAAAAACTTTGGGGCTAAAGTGTGCTCAATCTCCTAAAAGTTTTAAGAAATGTTCAAACACCTTCAGGTGAAGGAGAGGCATAGAAATGTCATTAAGATATTAAGAATATTATTATATAATAATAATTTTATATAATTATATAATTTTATATAATAATATTATATAATAATATTAAGAATATTATTCTTTCAAAGAAAAGTAGGTTTTTCTGAAGATGATTTGCTTTAATGGTCTATTATTTCAGATAGCTTATAGAAGACAAGTTATTAAAGGTTTGTGCAAAAGTAATTGTGGTTTCGAACTGAATTTTAAATCATTATAACTAGGCTCAGACATATCTTTATTAATCAAAATAGGAATCATTACAATCAACATATTTCTGCCAATAAGAAATAAGTTTATTTATTCCTATAGTGTAAACATTTGTGCTTCGGGGTTTGAGAAACTCTTGGAAGGCATTTTCTGCATCCTGTTGGTTATGGAAGCATTTTCCCTGCAAAAAGTTGTCAAGATGCTTGAAGAAGTGGTAGTCGGTTGGCGAAAGGTCAGGTGAATATGGTGGATGAGGCAAAACTTTGTAGCTCATTTCATTCAACTTTTGAAGCATTGGTTGTGTGACCTGTGGTCGGCACTGCTGTGGAGAAGAATTGGGCCCTTTCTGGTGACCAGTGCTGGCTGCAGGCATTGAAGTTTCTGGTACATTTCATTGATTTATTTGTTGAGCACACTTCTCAGATGTAATGGTTTCCCTGGGATTCAGAAAGCTGTAGTGGATCAGACCAGCAGCAAACCACCAAACAGTGACCATGATCTTTCTTTTTGTGCAAGTTTGGCTTTAGAACGTGCTTTGGAGCTTCTTTTCAGTCCAACCACTGAGCTGGTCATCGCTGGTTGTTGTATGAAATCCACTTTTCGTTGCACGTCACAATCTGATCAAGATGTGGTTCACTGTTCTTGCATAAAATAAGAGAAGGCAACACTTCAAAACGATGATTTTTTTTATTTTCAGTCAATTCCTGAGGCATCAAGCTTTTTCATCTTTCCACTTAGCTTCAAATGCCTAATGACCATAGAATGGTCAACATTGAGTTCTTCAGCAACTTCTCATGTGGTTGTTAAGATGATCAGCTTCGATGACTGCTCTCAGTTGGTCATTGTCAACTTCCAATGGCCGGCCACTGTACTCATCTTTAAGGCTCTCATCTCCTTTGCAAAACTTCTTGAACCACCACTGCACTAGACGTTCCTTAGCAGTTCCTGGGGCAAATGCATTGTTGATGTTCTGAGTTGTCTCCACTGCTTTATGACCCATTTTGAACTTGAATAAGAAAATCACTCGAATTTGCTTTTTGTCTAAAATCATTTCCATAGTCTAAAATAAATATAAGATAAACAGCAAGTAATAAGTCATCAGCAAAAAAAAATAAAGCAAGAAATGTGCATTAAAATGATGGTATAACATAACATTTATATAAGAATGTATTCCAGTATCAAACAGCAAATCTCAACAATGCTAAAACCGCAATTACTTTTGCACCAACCTAATAAAATTTAAATGTCACAAACAAAGATTCTTAAATTCTATTAAGTAAAATCTCCAAACTAATTTTTAAAATCTATAAGCAGGAAAAACAATTCACACAGATGACTACATCTTATCACCTTTGTTACTCTTCTGAAAGAAGACAAACATAATTTGCAAATTTTAGGAGAATTAATCATCAACCTCCACACACTCTGCTAACAGCCATTTTTTGCCAATGTAGGGATGTGACAATGGATATAGCAATGTTAACAGTATGGAAGTTGGTTATATATGTTACCATTTTATTTCTGCCAGACACTGTCTACTTGCCTGCTGTAACAGTGCTGACTGTGTAGCTGCGTTATGCTGTAACTCTTGCAAGGATGACTGTGAAGCGTTCTGGGAAAACCCAGGGATAGCTGGGAGAGACAAAAGACCTGGAAAAACAGAACTGCCTGCAGCTTGAAGTCCAGATGATAACCTAAAACAATTGACAGAAAAACAGGTCAAACTGCAGATAAGACATAAAAGTTACTGCTTCTGTATATGTCAAGCACTATCTTATGATGTTGAAAACAAACAAACAAAACAAAATTAGGATTTATTTGTCTGTTGGAAAGAACCATAAAAGTCAGCCATTCACTGATGTACAACTTTTTATTATAAAATACATTATGCCTAATTCAATAATTTTATGTGTTATTTAATACTTTCTGCTATTTTATAAGCAATGAAAACTACAAAATACAAATCCAAAAATTATGTCCATAGGCATAGTTTATTTATTTATCTTAACATGGTTCAGGAGCCATAATACATTTTTGGAGCACTGAAGTTTCAGCCCAGAAAAACATCATTTGGCACCACCAAACAATTAAGATTTTGACTTCTGCTTGGATTTTTGCATAGTCTTATTAAAATAAGACTATGAACTACAAGTTAGGTGAAGAATAATTTTATCCTATTTCTAAACTATTCACTTACCCAGCTTGTGCAACGAGAGCAGAGTTGAAATTGGAACTGAATGCTGAGGCAAATCCTGGGAGGACAGGGGCCGGGGATGGGGCTGTGGCAGCCACAGGTAGTGGTGTGACGGCTGCGACCGTCGTGGGCGCCTGCAGCCCCGGGAACGAAGGGAGAGCAGGGGTAACGCTTGGGGTATTGGAGACAGAAAAGCCAGGGTAGGAGGGATTTGAAGACGGCAGAGGGCCTTGGGTAACTGAGAAAAGTGAGGGGACGGCAGTAGACAAATTGAGGGGGAAGGGTGCTGCCGAGACTGGTGCTGAGGCAGAGAGCCCTGAGAGAACGGCTGCCGTAGAGCTGGGGTGGGAGACAGATGTGGAGGTGGCAGAGGCTGACGAAGTGGCTATTAATGACCCTGGAAGAGATACTGGCGGATTAAGAGATGGGTTGCCAGCCAAAGGAAAATTATTGGTCAAAGAAGTAAAAGGAGGAAGAGCAGTGAATACTTGAGGAATAGGCGTGGAGGAAGCGTGTGGTGGGAGGGAAATAGAGGAAAGGGGATTTGAACCATTTAAGGGAGCACTCAAACTGGAGAGACCTGACAACGCAGGATTAAGGCAAGTAGATAAACTGATGGGCACCGACGTTGAAGTATATGCACAACCCAATGTCCCCGGCAAACCTAAACTTCCATGGGAGGGATTCACAGAATGAGATGGGCCTTTGAAGGCCGAGGGGGTAGGACTCGTGGGCTCAGTTTTGATCATAACAGGAAGAGTCGTTACAGCAGGGGTAGCTGACATATGCAGGTCTGAGGGACCTGGGTGGGAGCCATGCAAAAGGACAGCCGAGGAGCCACAGCTCACTGGCACTGACGTTGACGATGACGTAGGCGTGGCTAAAGGAGACTGCACGGGCAGGGTAGGGGGTGTGGAAGTGGAGTTAGTCGCAGGAGATGGAAGGCCTGGGAACACCGCCAAGCCTGGAGTGGAAGAGCTCTGTGGGGCGGGAATGGCCGATGGGGCATAGCACTTGTTAGGGGCTGATGCAGGAGAATCAGAGTTTTGATTAGTTAGAGAAGATAATGAAGCCAACCCACTAGTAACAGCAGAGGATAAAGCAGAGGAGTTGATTAAATTGGTGTCGTTCGATGTCAGAAAGCCTTTTAAAGCAGACAAGAGAGGACTGTTTACACCAAGTGGACCAGCAACACTGGGAGCAGAACCACTGGCAATTACTGAAGGAGTCGGATTGGCTACGCTTTGGGATGTTGGTGGCAAGGGCAAAGGAAGACCTGCAAAACCTGATGACAATGAAGCAGAATTTTGGTTGTTGGTGGAAGCAGCAGTAGAGGTGGTGGGAAAGGGGAGGCTGGTGAAAGGCGCAGAAGTAGAAGCAAATGTTTCACTAGAAGTAAGAGTGGCCCGAGGTGCAGATGTGGCCTGAGGGCCTGGGGTAGGAGTAGCAGGAGGACCTGGCAGTGGCACTAGGCCAGAAAAAATAGAAGGAACAAGAGCGGATGTTGTACTGTGGGTAGAAGTAACAGGTGCAGCAGGCAACAAAGGGGTTCTGATAACTGTTGGGTTTGGCGTTGATGGCTGAGGTGTATGAACGGCTGAGGAGACCTGCCCTGGGAACACAGGAAGGACAGTATGTGGCAGGTTAATTCCAGAAATGGTGGCAGCTGCTGATGCTGACGGGTGATTGACTGACTTGACCGGGGATGCAGTAGGGACAGGAGTTGCAGCAGGTGTCGAAGGATTAGAACCATGAGGAGAAAAGAGTTGACTTGCAGGGGTGGAAAATGCTGTGGGAGGGGGAAAAAGGCAAGAATGTATCATCATGCTGAAATGTCAAATTTTAGCTCAAAAGAAATGCATAACCATTTTTGTATTATTTAACAAATAGAGAAAATCAATGACATAGGCTTTAAAAAGAAAATCAATGACAGGTAGAATAGGCTCTTGTAATATCTAAAGTGCTAGATTCCATTAGCCTGATCTTCACTCTGGAGACTCAGTCAGAACCAGTTGTCTTCCAGACTCTGCTCAGAATAGGAACAGCCCTCCATTTCACAGTCAGGAAGCCTCGAGAAGCTCACAAACCCTCCTTTTATATTTTTCCACTTTTTCAAAATTCAAAGAATTTATTTTAATTGTGATTAGTGTTGGTGCACTGACTTTATCTCTCTTTTAAACAGCTTATCTAGAGGAATAATCATAAGTCCATCCCTCTCTTAAGAGTTTTGGGACATGGCTTCCCTCTCAGGGGCATACAAGGCCTCCCAGAAGTCACGCCCATTTCTCTAGTAATCTTTGTTGCCACTCTGAATTGAATTTAGTATTGTAGATTATTAATCTGCATAGTTTTTCTCCATATACATTTGCTCATATTGACCACTATACTACATTAATCTCCAACCTTTATCTGGTTTGTCCTGGGAGCTCCTGTAGGAGCAAAACCTGTGTCTAATTCATCTTTAGAGTCCCATGACCTTGCACAGCACCTGTGTGGTAAAGTGTTTGCCATGCTGGATATATCATGCTTACCTCAAACTACAGTTCCCAAACCCATTCAAGGACTATTCTCAATAATATTTCTAAAGTTTGTTACAATATTTTTATTCTGATAAACCCCACAAATAATTAATATTAGCATTTTGGGGGATGATTTGTGTTCCACCCTGAATAAATTCAATGATTATGTCTGTCTGTGATAATCTTCTTGGTGTCAAATGGAAAGCTTGACTTAAGTAGCTAATGTCATAATGACAACTATCATCTGATCCTGTACTCACATCAAATTCTGTTTCAGCTGTAAACAAAGAATGTTACTTTTTCAGTGATAATCAACTGAAAGACATTCTCATGGACTAAGACATTTTTAAATCTATACATAATTAAGACTTTTGACATAGGAAGCTGACATGGTCAATGAAGCACCTCACCTAGGGGAAAAATAAGTGCTATGGTGCTGCTGCCATCTGGAGGCAGTACATAGGCCATATTTCATCTTCATTGTTCAATTCCATTTTCTGCTTTGATGCTCATTCTTTTCTACTCTAAGTTATGCTTAATAATACTTATTGAAATAATTAAATATAAAAGTAAAATCTGATATACAGTTTGTCAGAAAGGGTTTTTATCACTCTATGTGCTTATATCAAAAAAGAAATGAGGATTCCAATATCACAGAACATAAAATGAATATAGATACAATGTCACATAGCACTTACATTACATTGCAAGTTTTACAAATAGGATACAAAGTCCTAAGATTAATTTTAAATCCAGTTAATATGTGCATTTTATGTTGTATCTATAAAATGTACCAATATTAAGCCACCTTTAACCAGTATTAATCACATTCTTTAGCTAGGCACTTTTCCTAAAACATAAAAAATTCTAAATACATTAAACTCATATCGTTCTCAGTGAATAAAAGAGTAGACAAAAGCTATCTCTGGATCAAATTTGGTTCTTACTTTGACTCGGTGCAGGTTTTGACTGACTGGACAGGTCTTCATTCTCTACATAAAAATAAATAAAAGTTCACTTTAAGCTTTAATCAAATTATTCATCACAACAATAAACATAGATTGGGGTAAAAGAGAACAACCTAGTATATAAATATATATGTATACTGTGTTAGGAAACACAATGCACATACACGAAAAAAGAAAGGAAATGAAGATAGTAGTAACTATATGAGGATTGAGAGGATTATGAGCAAAAGCTCTATCCTGCCCCCCAACCTTAGCTTGTCACGTTTTAAATACACATTGTTATTTTATAGATACACTGTATTTAAGAACACTTTCTGGAAAGATGCCATCTGCCTGCCATCCAGGAGAAAGTGCAGCAGGCAGCTAGAGTGCAGAAAAGACCACCCACTGTCACTGGCTGAGCTAACAGACTGCCCAGACACGGGAAGACGGGGAAGCGGGAGGTGGCTGCTAAGTGAATGAGCACAGAATCCACCAACAGCCAAGTACACTTCCCAAGCCAACAGAAAGAAACCACCCTGCCCACTAGCTGTATTCGGCTCTGGGGAAGGCCCCATGCCAGCAGCTGTCAGAGAACTAGCCTAGCTGAGGCTGATTTGGTATCTGCGAAACTGACAACCTAAAGCACATGCCTCCCATCCTCATGGGAAAGGACATGTCCAAACAGCTCACCTGCCAAGGATACAAAGGGGAAACAATTACTCTCCCATGGCTTGATAATAATTGCCCAAGAAACCAACACTGTGACAGGCATAAAGTACAAAGGGAACCCACAAGCCCTGGCAAAAGTGAGCAAAGAAAAATCACAGCTTGTTTAAGGGATTTACTAGCTTAACAAAGTAACAAAAAATAACTACTAAAACAATGGAGATTGAAGTAACAAAAGATAAAGAACTTTTAAAACCTGTAATACAAATTAAGAACATGCACGCATACACATAATACTTCGAGGAAATAAGCAGAGAAGGTAAAGACTTTTAGATATAAAAATCTGATTCCAAATTAATAAATGCAAGGAATGGTGAAGATTAGAAATAACATTACTGAAAACGAAACTCCTTAGCTGAAAACAAGAAAAAAAATCCTGCTTAGAATGCCAAAATACCAAAAAAAAAGTCATAAGTAAATAGGTAAAGAAGACAAATATAGAAAATCTAATAAATACAAGAGTACCAGAAAAAGGAGAGGAAGAGGAAGAAGAAGAAACAGCAAACAGATGAAAATGCAATGATTAAAATAAAAACAAAGTTTTCCTAAACTTCAAATACTTGAGTTTTTACATTCAAAGTCCTGACATAGTGCTAGAAAAGATTAATGACAAGACACATACCTAGACATCTTGGTAAAATTCCTGAAATCCAAATATAAAAAATATTTTCTTTGTAAGCTTACAGAAAGAGACCAAGTTTCTAATAAAGAAATTAACGGCTGCCAAAATAGCTCAGTTGGGAGAGCATTAGACTGAAGAAAATAAAATTCACTGGAATTGGATTCCTCATCTACAACTCTACACATGTGTCTTTTATGAAGAAACTTCTTAAAGATATTTTCTATCACATGAAAATTAGAAAAAACATATCAGAATAGGGAATCAAAGAACAGAAGAAACAATACCAAGTCACGATTAGAGGCAATCTTAAAGAAAAATTAAATATTAGAAGCAAAAATGTATAGTATTCCAACAAAACACAGAAATTGATAAAAAAGAATATAAGGAAGTAAAGTGATACATAGTTTTTTTTTTTTTTTTCAGTTTTTGTATACTGGCAACCATTAAAACTATGAAGGTAATCCCTAGTAATGTCAAGGATAACATTTTTAAGTTTGGGAGGGTGCAAGGAGAGAAGAGTTGTTAAAAAAACAAAACAGCAATTTGATCCAACTTAGTAAAGGTAAGGAAACAAAAAACTGAAATAAAAGAATAATAATGAATATAAAAATAAAATGGAAAAACTAAGAATAAATGTGTAATATTTATGATTATCAGAAATTCCAATTAAAAGTGTCCCCAAAGGGTATAAAAACAGAAATTCAGCTACATATATAATTTACAAACCAAACTAATCTACCAAATAAACAAAACCTTGTGGAGGAAAAGTTGAAAATAAAGGTAAAGCAAAATATTTTTGTACACTAAAAAGAAAAAGGGCAACATTATTACTCAATAAAGCCTAGGGGAAAAAAGAAATATATAGTAAGAATATAACTCAGTTAATATTATTTTATAACTAGAAAACTCGACAGACTTAAAAAAAACTTAGAATAGGTAATTGGTAATGAGCACCTAGAAATGAAGCATTTCATTTATAATTATAATAAAAATTACCTCTAAATTCTGTAGAGACAAACTTAAGGCATAGAAGCTATAAGTAAAAAACTATAACATCTTCTTGAAAGGGATAAAATAAGCTATGGGGAATAAAACACTGCCAACTAGACATGATATAAAGACATACACATGAATGAATGGCACGATGATATCCTAAAAATGCCAATTGTCAATTCTCCCCAAATTACTATATAACTCTCTCTACAAATACATATATAAATTCAACTGTGTTTTTTTTTAATTACATAACATAACCTTAAGGTTCATATAAAAGAATAAATTCATAAAAATAGGTAAGAAAAATATAAAAATATATGAAGGGGAGCTTGCCTTATCAAATATTAGAACACACTGTAAATCTGCTAATGAAATCAATATGATATAATCATAAAATAACTACCCTTGCACTGAATAAAGAACCCTAGAGTTATACCTGTGTGTGTACGAAAACTCAAAATAAGTGTATTTCAAATCAGTGGGGAAGACAGACTAAAATTAAGATGAACCTCTATTTTACCATATACCAAAACAAATTCCAGATGGAGTAAGTATCTTATAAGACCTAAAATATCTGAACTGCCCAGGGATAAGATGATCTCAACCAAGACTACTTGGTCCCAGCTTTTCTTTCATAGCCTATATTTGTCTATGCAAAATGTAAAACTGTAAGGTCAAAAGGTACCATAAACAAGGGAGGAAATAAAATGATAAATTTTGGAAAAAATGTTTTGCAACCCTTATTAGAGTATTCAACAGAATTCACTCTTGGCTAGTTAAACAGAGAATTTATTTATGTTACTAAGGGCAGAAAAATAACTAAGTTCTATTACTACCCTATGTATATACAAAAATATGAATGGCAAATGGATTAAAAGCTAAACATTTAAAAAGAATCACTGTAAAAGTAATTGATTTTATATGGTATTTTTATATTGTTGGGGTGAAGGGTTTTCTAAGTAAGATACAAAACTCAGAAGAATCAAACAAACAACAACTAATCTAAATAAAAATTAAAATTTTATAAAAAACAAAAAGGTAAGCTAAACTGGTCTATCAAATTGGCAAATTTAAAAAAAACGATCATCTTCCATTTTGAAAGGGTATGAAGAAACTGCATGCTGATATACTCTCATGGATAGGTATAATCTGGTAAAGATTAACTGGGAGAATATAATAGTTTGGCAATATACGGAAAACGATTTATTCTTCTTATGCCATGTTCCCAAAAGACCTAAAGCAAAAGGTAGGCAAGTGCTGGGGAGTTTTAGCCCTTCTCATCGCTTTCTTACAAGCTCTTCCTCCCCATGGTAGGAGTAATTTGCCCAAATGGTGGCATTCATTAAGTCAATTATACTTCTCCATAGCTTGTCAAAGTTTATGACTCAAGAGAAATAGTTCTTTTTTCTACAACCTGTGTTCACATATGTGGCCCAAGGCCACTTGAGTGCAGCCTTTATATCATTCTAAAGTGAATGGGGAGACAACTGTGCCAACTGGCAATGGAACTTAGGCTACAGTGAGCTGGATCCCAGCTCCTTCCCCATTCTGCCAGGCACAGAAGCCAAATCCACCCCTTCACCCCTTCTAACCTGCATGTGATAAACCTCCTTTGGGCAGAGTATCCTTTGCTACCCCACTGTTAACCCCATACATATTCATCCATCAATTTCAGCTTCTCTCTCAACAGCTCCTTTGCTGAGTTAGACAGGCATCTGCCTTAGTGTCCAAAAATTCTCAATAAAGGAGGCAGAAAGTCCCTCAACTCTCTTCAATCTGACAGTTAACAAAGACCCTTGAAAAAAACTGATGCTCTGATCCCTTTTGGGTTGTGTGCAGATTTTACTATTTCCCAAGCTTGCTTGAAGAATCACCTGGAGATCCTTAAAAAACAAAGATACCAGGGCCCCACCTCTAATCCACTGAAGCAGAATCTCTATACAAATGGGGAACTGAGGATAGTTTGAAAAAGTGCCCCAAGCAGTTCCAAGTGACAGAGAAATTATGTCCTTGTTACTTTACCATTCCTCATATTACATTACCAGTCTGTTTTTACCTATTTCTTCTTCACCTTAATTCCATTAAATGGCAGCTGCATTACTAAGTCAACAATCTTTAGCAAGCAGCTCACATTTATTTTAGGGGTTTGGATGCCCCTCCTGTGAGTTTCCATAGCACCTGTACTCTGTCATAGCACTGATCATCTTATCTCTCAGAATCTAGGATGCCATTTGCTGTAAACCACATTCCAATTTCAAAGAAATTAAACTATAAAAAATGTGCAATTCAGAACCAATGAAATAGAATATATTGAAATCGTCTTCTCTTTCCTTATCTGTATTTTTCACTAGACTGTAAACTCTTTACAAACAGGACTGTCTGTTCACCTTTGTATCCTCAGCATATAGCACATGGTAAGATAATCTGACATCAGTTGAACATGTTACTAAGTAGTACTATTTAATTGTTATCCTGTATTTCAAATGTGGAAACGGAAGTCCATGAATATTATGAAAACTGCCCAGTGTTGCTAAGGATTCCTGCCCAGATCCATCAGGCTCTCGAGTTTGTGCTCCTTTTATTAGGATATATCAGGTGAAACAACTGTCCCCTCCAAGTGCACAACTGTCCTCTCCAAGTGCAAATTGTGCATGAATAAATTACTTACTTTTAGTACCCTGTAATAACATGACTTTACCTGGTCCTGTGGGATTAGGAGTATATGGAGGTGGAGGGGGCACGCCTGGAGCTATGACATTGGCTAACGGTACCAGACCTGCATTGTTATAAGCACCTAAAATAAAAATATAATAGAAAAAGGATATAATTTAATATCGTTCTGTGACCAGTAGTTTAAACTGTATTAATGCAGCTATTCCATTTATTTTTAAAACTGTTAAATAATACAGTTACATCTTACATGGAGGTTTGGGTCAGGACTAAATGAAAACTGAGACCAAACAAGACAAACTAGAGATTACCATTTCCCATTGTGTGCTCATTCCAGGCATTAGCTCACTGAATGGCAGACAGAACCTGCCATACTTAAATTATTTGTCTTTTCTGTCAAACACATATACTTGACCTTTTTTAGTTAAATGCAATTAATAATGCTTCTGAACACCAACTACCATAAAAAAATGCTAGATAATTTACCAAAGTGAAAAGTCATAAAGAATGATTTAAAAAGCCTGTAATTAATTTATCATAAGGAAAACATCCTAAATAAACTTTGCCTGATACTGTATTATAGACCAGGATTCTAGTAGCTATCTATGGGCATAATTAAACATACCGTACAATTTTATGAGTGCTACAGATTTCCTAAGAACACAGATTAGCACTTACTTTCAATTTAATACATAAACAACAAAAAACAAAAACAAGTAAAAAATAAGAGAACTCCTTACTTGGTGCAATAGTTGCATGTGGTCGGCATGGAGGTATTGGGTAAGGAACAGGTTTATGTGGATTGTATGTTGAAGGAGGCTAGAGGAGCAAGGAAAGTATAGCAGTTATTAAGAAAACCAACCAAGCTCCTGACAAAATAAAACTTGTCTTTGAAAATAGTCCTAATACACCCAAGAATATCAAATGCTACTGGACTACATAGTACAAATGAGGGAAATTTTTGGTTCCTATTAAATTCCAAAAGTAGATCTTGCCAAAGAAGGCCACAGAGGTGTTTATTTTTTAATTTATCTCAAATAAAGGGTCAGATCTTATCTTACACAATAGCAAACTCCTCTTGGACCCAGCCTAGGCTAATCCAAGAATTGCTTTCTCCTCTTACGTAACTAATAGAAGAAATCTGCTAGGTTTTATAATCTCGATTATATAAGAACCCCCCAATGGCAACATCCTCTGAAACTCATTAGGAATTCATCCTATCATTCCCACCTTCTTTTGGAAGAAAAGAACCACTGTTTGTTTTAGGCATTCAGCATTCTGACAACTCTAGTAGAATGCGGACTAGAATTAGGAATTCAGTATTTTAGTTGTTTTGCCTTTGAAATCCAAAAATCCACAAATGCTTTATTTTACAGTTGATGGAACGTACATGTAAGTAACAAAAAGCATTCAAAGAATTGGTCTTTAGAAAACTGGAAGTATCTGAAGCTAAGCCATATATTATACTTTTACCTTGGGGCAGGAGAGGAGACGTACTGGTGGCAAGAGACCCAGATTCTTTCCAGCTTTCATAACTGTGGTCCTATGTGAAGCACTAGGCTTGTGCAAGGATTATGATCTGCGACTACTCTGCCATAAACCACTGCCACTGGAGAACCTGTCATGTGGATGGGCAGGGTCTGCCTGGTGACTATGTGTAGATCTCTAGTACTTCAATTGCAAGTATTCTTCAACCCACAGGGTTGTCTTCTCCTATCTAGTTTATATTCCAATCATTCTAATCATTCCCTTGTAAATACTCTCAACTTCCTGGCTCCAGCGTGGTTTTACAAATAAATACTAACTTTGCCAAACCACAAGCTTAATTAAAGCAAACTCTCTACATGTCAACCTCCAATTGAACAGCTGAATATGTGTAGAGCAAAAATAGCAATCTGACTGGTCTTACTTATAACCAAATGCTTAACCTCAAAAGAGCCCTCCATACTGTTAAATAAGTATACTATTTTTCCCTAGAGCATTCACTCTCCTCTGCTCTCCTAGAATTTCTAGCATACTTTAAACTTTGCAACACAAAAACAAAATGTATGCTTTGAATAGACAGAATACTTCAAGTAGGAGTTAAGGCTTGTTTCATCATTTGTTTTCTAAACATACTGGTTTGGATGGTCCCAGAATTCGCGCAGCTATTCCTTTGCCTTCATTGGTACATTCTTCACCATCTTTTTTCAAAGGTGTTCCCTATTATTTTTTTCAAAAGAAAAAAAAAAAATAGAAAGGTAATTGAGACTTGGAAAAAGAAAAAAAAAAAAAAAACAAACTCAAACCAACAACAACAACCAATCTTACTATATTACACCGAAGAAAAGGACTTGATAGAATTGAAAAGACTTGGATTCCAGAATCAATTCTGCCCTGGCTGGCTGCATGACTCTGATTAGGCTCTCAATCCTCCTGTGTAATGTAACCCTCATAATACATTCAAAGGTACTCAGAAGCAAACATGCAATATACAGAGATGACAGAAAGGGAAGATAAAGTATCCACAGGGGATTGGTTCCAGGATACCAAACTCCACAGATACTCAAGTCTCTTACATAGAATGGCATAGTATTTGCATATTTGTAACCTATGCACATCCTCTCATATACTTTAAGGTATTGCTAGATTACTTATAATACCTATTAATAGCACAATGTAAGTCAAATGTAGATATTATATTGTTAATATGTTTTATTGTATTCTTTATTATCGTATTGTTATTTTTTAGTTTTTTTCCAAATAATGTATGTTCTAATTTTTTTCTCCTTCATAAAAAGCAGCAACCAGAAACGGACTTCCAATGCATGGTATGAATAATGCTCAAAGAATAAAAAAAGAGCACCTGTATTACAGTTGAAAATAGATGAGAAAAAATGTTCTCTATAAATAGTGTGATTGTTATATTGTCAAGAGTAAATGAGATCCCATTCAAGATTGCTATAATTAACAGATCAGAACAGGCTGACAGACTCTTACAGTGTGTCTCTCTAATAGTGTGTCCCTAAATGGTATACACTAGTATGGCAGCCAACTACCAAGATGGCCCTACTGATCCTCGCCTCCTATGTGCCCTCGTGCAGTTTCCTTCCAGAATGAAGAGAGTAGACTTGTGTTGCAAATAGGATACTGCAGATATGATGGCATTTGACTTCCAAGGCCAAGTCATAAGAGACACTGCAGCTTCCACCTGCCCTCCCTTGGATTACTTACTCTGGTGGAAGCCAGCTGTCATGTCATGAAGATATGCAAGCAGTATTATGGAAAAGTCCCCTGCCAACCCCCAACACTAACTTGCTAGTCATGTAAGTGAGCCACATTGAGAGCATATTCTTGAGCTCCAACCGAGCTTTCAGATAAATGTAACCTTATAAGATGACCTGAGCCAGAAGTACCTAGCTAAGCCACTCCCACACTCCATCTATAAAAACTATGTGAGATAATAAACATTTATTGTTTTAATCCACTAAGATCCGGGGTTATTTGTTAATAACAATAAAAATATACTTTGAAAAAGTTATTTCACAAAGTGGTTTGAGGAACACTGGATGATATAAAAAGTTTCTTTCTTATAGGACTTCTCAGGTCCTTTATTATGCAATATGATTCTCCAGGAAGGAAATACTGCATGCAGAGTTTCCCAAACATACTTAGCTAAGTGAAACAGGGAATATAATACTGACAATTTGAAAACTGCTCCTTTACTAAATGTAAATCAGTACTTCTAAAATACCTGGAAAAACAAAACAAAATCATCTTCTTTTCTGTTTGGCTTGTAATGCAGGTTTACACAAATACTTTAATGGAGTGTACACACGAATTTTCAATCAGTGGTAAAGCTATGCATTAAATTGCTGACATAATAAAATTCCTTTCCTTTGGAGAAGCATCATCAACTGGCATTTTCTTTAAATATCATTACCTTATGCTACATTTCATACTTAGCTATGAGAAGTTTCATACATAGCCATAAAAGTATGCTTACTGGGAATATTCCATTTATGCGACTAGGTTTTCCTTTGGGATATGGATTTCCTGGGATCGTTCCACAAGAAGATATCATAGCATGAGGAGCTTTGCAGCCCACCTTGAAAGCCTATAATAAAAAAAAGAAGAGGGTGGTAAAATAAACAAACAAACAAACAAACAAACAAACACTTAAAGTATTCTCAACATTGGGGAGCCCAGCCAAAAAAACATGGATTAAGGAATAGCATTACTTCATTCTGTTCATACATCATTCAGTAATTACAGTAATGAACATGACCAAAAGTATCAATAGTAAGCAAAATAACTTTATTTAAATGGAATTATTAAAGTGGTAACATAATGTTAATGTTGCAACTAACAGCCTTTTATACAAAGATACCTTCACAACATATTTTGTAAATTGTGTGCATAAATGTCTATTTATTTTCTAACCTGTCCTATTTCACCAAATACCAAGAAATAACACAGTCCAAATCTATAAACACCAAGCTCATGTTACAGTAAAGGCAAGGAGGACACAGAGATGAAAGGGACATGGTTCCTCCTCTGAAGAAGTTTACGATTTAGTAGAGAAACACAAACAAATAACAAGACATTGGGTGTCCACAGAGCTGTGTTGTTGAAAAGCAAGAGTTATTTTGATACTTAATCTTCAACATACTATTACATAATTATAAGATATAGTAAAGGAAGAAATTTTGGTCTAGGCTTTTTATTACTGCATCTCTAGCTTCTAAAATGATGTCTCTCATACTGAGTTGGTGCTCAATAAATAAATACTCATTAAATTAATAAAAAACACCATACTAGGCAATTATATCCCATTGGATCTATATTGTATTAAAGGAATACCCAGTTATATATATAGGTATATATAAGTATGTTATGTTATATATTTTGTTATAGAGTTATATTGGTTTTATAAATCCATTTACAACACATATAATTATATTAGCTATAGAATCTAGCCCCATAAAACACCTAAAAATAATCACCTTAATTTTTGGCTATTAATATTAACAGTATTTGGGTGAATGCCCTTATATATAATTTGTATATATTTCTACTATTTCTTTAGAATAAATTCCTAGAAGTAGAACTTTTGGGCCAAAAGGTATCAACATTTTAAAGGCTCTTCAAGTTTACCTTCTAGAAAAGTTGTATTAATCTACATTGCCCAGAGGGCCTACTCCACAAAACACTCAGGCTCAGAATATTTCTGAGAGAGAGGGCAACATGGTCAAAATGCTTTATAAAATGACAACAAAAAACTACAGCAGTAATATCCATGATGCCTTAAAGATTTTAGTCAAGAAAACCAATGAAGAAGTTACTGAAGTAAAGAAACATGGCTCAGATATTGACTCTGCTACAACAATGTATGGTTAAAGCAAAGTTACCTACCCTCCCTAAGCTCAGAGGAGGTTTTGAGGATTAAATATTAAACACAAATGAGCTGCAAGGCCCTAGAAAAGCAATCTGCATCTCCTCAAGTAAGTTTCTAAATTTTATTAATTCAGCTTTTAGCCATCAGAACCCTAGGAAATAACTACCTTACATGATGAATCAAGTTTTCTAGACTTAGACCAGTACGCTCATACTCTTATAGATTTTAAGCTAATAAACTGGAATTTTGTTTTAATATTCATTTCTTAGGAATTTATTTAAAATAAACCTGATAACAAAGCAAATTTGAAAAGTCAAGATTCTAAATAAAGTTAAAGACAAAAGCTTGGAGCATGGCAAAGGGACCAAGACTTAAATGCCCCATGAAGCTCAAGCTGAATGGTCAACTGGCTTCTTACCCTCAAGCCACCTCATCTCCCTCCAGTGTCCCCTTCAACCAGCTCTGTTTCTACTTCTGAGACTGCAGGGATATTCATTTTTAACCTATCATATAATAGCTCTCAGGTTATTCACCAAAGTTAACACAAGAGGAAGAAAGGGACTTTTTCATCAACCTTCAGAAAATACCCATATACCATGTACATAGCTATCTTGGGAAAACTACCTGTTCAAGTACTCTCTTGCATCGCTTCTTCTCAGACATATTTATCCTAAATAAATCTTCAATAGGACGAGAATTCTGCGCATCAACAATGTTTCTACAAAGAAAACACAAATTAGGTTTTCATTTAAAAACCCGGCATACATACAGAGGTCAGCAACCTTTATTTACCGCACAAATGTATCTGAATAAGCTTTTCCTGGGACATAGGGCTAAAAGTGCGATTAATTATTTACTTTGAGTTTAAATAATGTTTATGTAAAAGTGATAATTATAACTGAACTGAGATTTCTCTAACTGATTACTGGATTACAAAGTAATACTGTAAATAAAAATTACTGTTTTGAGGTTTTTCAAACTATGCCTTCTCTTCAACAATTGCTAGGAGAGCTACAGCAATAGAACCAAACCATGTGTTAAAGGAGTAAACATCATGGTGTATCTAAAAATAAAGTTTTACCGTATGCTTTATTTTGTCTTTTTATGGACTTAAAAGTATGTTCTATAAGTAAACAATAAATTATACACTGTTAAATTATGTAAAGGTTCCTTCCTTTTCTCTTTGAGCTTCACTCATTATGATCATCTATCAAATGCTGTGCTAGACGCTTTCACATATGTTATAGTATTTAAAGTTCATATACCCTACCTAACTAGGTGAGATCCTTATTTTTCCAATTAAGGAAAATAATGCTCAGAAATAATAAGTACCTTGCCAAAAAAATGTATTGTGTTGATAAGTGGCAGGATCTCTGTTTTAACTCTTAAATTCCTATCTTTACCAACATGCCTTTCAAGTTATTCAGAGTAGGAAGGCCAACTAAGTTGCAGAAATGCAGAAACAATCAAATTAAATAATTAATATCAATAAGCTCTATTATTTTATAAGTATTAACAATAGCCATGTGTGTAATAAGTACACTAGATATTTACTCACATGAAGAAATCAAAATTTATCATTATGCTTTCATACACTGTATTTTATTGGTTCTATTTACTCATAGAGTTCTGACACAATAACACACACTAGTAAGTTAAAATACATTTAAAAGGCTTCCAAATTTTTTTTAAATGAAGTAAACAAAAAATACTTACGAAGCTAACAATTCAAGAGCAACTAATTTATCTTTACTGAAGGTGAAACAGTTGAGTATATTGACCACTTCTGCTGGGTGAACTGCCACCATTTTCTGTTAATATAAAAAATAATTTTATAGTTAATGTGAGCTTTTCATGCCAGAGATTGCCCTTTTTCAGAAGTATAATAAAAGGCTTTTAATATAAACATTTTAGGTAAAAAATTTTGCATTTTAATATTTCATATTTTAGTTGAAAATTACTCAAAAAGAAGTTCTAAAAATACTTCATATTATATATATGTTTAAATATGTTATACTTATGCTCTTCCAACTTAATTATTTCAGTTGAAGAACTAAGATCTCCTCCAAGTTCTTTTTAATCCACATTTCTCAGTGTGTTCACTTATAGAATAAAAAAAACTTACGAGCAATACTTTCCTGAGAAAGGTTACATAAAAAGGTGAGATATATATATATATATATGATATATATACATATATATGAGATTAAATTGCTCAAGGAGTTAGAAAAAATTATTATATTCCACAGTTAATGGGAATGCCACAGATCAGCACTTTCCAAAAAGCTGTCCATGGTGCTAAGTAGTGTTACCAAAAAAAGGGTACACTATTCATACAAGTCAGGTTAAAAACTGAGATAAACAGGTTTCATTACTGCAGAACTTTGAGAGTCTTATGTTAATGTACATCGTGACATTCCAAGGTTGTGTGGGATATTACATAAATATTTGCCTAGGGTATCTTTATTCTGAAGAGCATCCAGGTGATTTGGTCAATTTATAGATTTATGTTAACAGTGAAGAAAATCTAAAAGCAAAGTCAATGTAAGAAGTAAGATGGTTAGAATCAACACCCAACATAGCAATGGTTTTCAAACATTTTTATTAACGAAAGAGAACTGATAAAACTTTATATCCCTTTGCACATTTTTAAATTGACATCTAAAGATTATCCCAGAAGTTTAAATACTTGCAAAAGAAAATTTTCTCATATACATTTATATATCTGCAAAACTGCAGAACTACTAAGTTAGCTCATTTATTTAATTTATAGAAATGTTCACTACAGAACCTAATTGGAAAGGCAGTCTTCGGTATGAAAATAAAACAGTCAAATCAGACTAACTTTGTCAGAAAAGGTCAGACTTAATTTAATTCAAATAAGTGTACTGAGTTGTCCCTGTAACACCCTTCTCACTTCTGAATTTTAACTCTAAGTTAGGTAGACACACAAGCAGACCTTAGAGCTTTGTTATGAGTTTGTCATCTTGATAAAAATAAGGCAAGCCCTCATCAATATTTTTTACAGAAGTTCTCTTTGTTTTTGTTTTCCCTACCAGGAGCAAAGCATTGTCTCTGGAACTTAAAAAAACATTTTACCCCCAAAGCACAAGCAAGATAACACTTCTTTTGTAAAGTAGAAAAAAGGTGTTAAAGAGGAGGTCAAAAAGCAGAGCTAACAGACCCAGATATTTTCTTAGGCAGGAACTTAAGGATGTATAAATTGATTCCATTATAGCTATCCATGCCTGATACTGCTTGGAAAATCTTCCTATACAGCCAGATACTCCTGATGCAATGGTGTGATCTAGACACCCCTGTTGTTCTAGGCTCTAGAGCTGTGCTATCTAATACAGTAACCCCTAGGCATATGCGCCTATTTAAACTAATTACAATAAAATACATAGTTTCTCAAACAGACTACGCACATTTTAAGTGTTGATATCCACACGAAGCCAGTAGCTACCACAATGGACAGTGCAAATAAAAAAATTTCCATGATCACTGAAAATACATTTGGACAATGCTGATGTAAAGAATATAATTATAACCTGCCTGACAACTCTTCTAAGACTAAATACAAGAGGGTAAAGATGGAGATTAAAAAACAGAAGGAAGCATACAAAAACACTTAAGAATTCAAATCCCATATTTTGCTTGCCAATTAATATTTTTTCTCTCCAATTTGCCAATGAGAACACTGTGGTAAACAATTTAATAGTATAGCACATTCATTTTAAATTTACAGTTTGGAACGTTATTAACATAATGTTTTTAACATAATTATTTTGAATAATCAATGTATAATAAAATTGGGGGTTAGCTTTTCTGATACAAATTACAACTTGAGATGAACTATGGAAAACCAGGACAATTAAAAATACTTAAATTCTATATTTTAGGGAAAAAATAAGTTACTTACATGCTGTAATGCTTTCATTGCCTTCAACTGAGGCTCAGCCCAGGAAAAATATCTCAGTAAATCAACTACCTGAAAGCAAAGAACTAATTTAGATCAAACGACAGTGTGTTTGAAAACATTTCTGATTTATTTCAGTACTTGGAATTACTATTCAACATGAACAGCTCAGGCCCAGGTGATGAGGGTGGGACCAGAGTCTAGACTATGCTGTCTAACAGAGTAGTAATGTGTGATTATGTAAATTTAAATCACTTCCATTTCAAGTCCTCAATAACCTTACAAAGCTGATAGCTAGCATAATGGACACTGCAGACAGAGAACATTTCTACCATCACAAAAAGTTCTGCACAGCACTGGTCTAGAAAAAAATGGAAAATATGTAATATAAGAAAAACAAAATATCCTAATAAGAAAAGCAAGGTTGAAAAGTACTAGACAGAAATAAAATATCAGCTTAGGAATACAAAGATGTACTATGAATAAAAAACTTTAAAACATTACTGGAGAGTGGCATAGTTTTAATCATTTACAAGGATGTAACAGTGTGGTTTAGTGTAGGTCCATTAACTTCCACCCTTTTACTTGAATCTGAAGGACATAATACTCAAACCATAGATCTAGTCCCTAAAAAATGTAAGAATCATCATGAATTATTTCAGCAGCTTCTAAAGTATGCATCATTTTGAGAGCTCAGAGCTCAGATAGTCTGGCTCCCACCAACACCACCCTCCTCCACCACTAGAGAACTTCATATGTATGAGGGAAATGTTGTGAGTCAGCCAGTAAGAGATTAGCAGGGCATAAAGATCACAATATTGAAGTCTCAGCATCATCACCACCACCCGGTTTCACTCCCTCCAAGTATACTACGAAAGAATAAAAAAAAAAAAATGCAAGAACAGAATTCTTGAAACTGTGCTAAGGTTTCAATTCTTCTACAAAGCAAGGTTAATGATGCAAACTAGAGTGGTATTTGAAGAGTGAAAATACATTTTACTTCCTATAAAGACATAAATACCAAACAAGTATTATGCATACTTTCCAGTTAATTTGCTAAGAGTATATGCCCTCACTTTTATGAGAATAATGTTCTTTGTATATAGTAAATGCTATATTTTACCAACCGTAACACTTTACCAACCAAAAAACTTTACAAACTATCATGTCTGATCTACGAAGAAAAATCTTTAATAATTAGGCTTAGAATGTCTCAGAAAGTGGCTTAATAAAGTTTTAAATGACTTTAGCAAAGTGGAAGCACCATTAAGGGTGGAAGATCTCACACACACACACACACACACACACACACACACACACACAGAAAACAAGCTATTAAAACAAGATTTATATCCAATTTAAGGCAACTTTGTAAAGCAATGGGAAAGCTAAAAAAAAAAAAACTATCATTAAAAAGGTAGCAACAAATGCATTATCATAAAGTAGCTTGTGGGAATTTAGTAGGCAGAACTTCTATAGGCTTAAAATCATTCAAGCTTTCAAGTTTTGAAGCCCTTGAGAAATCAATGAAAAATTAGAGTATTTAGTAAATCAATATATGGATTCATCCATTGTCCATCCTTCCCAGAATTGTTATCTGTACGCACATTTCTATTTCTGCCTGACTTCTCTATCAAGAATTTTCTAGGTATCCCTCAGAAATCCTCACCTGCCTATTGTGTATATATATATATATACATACAAGGTTTTTTTTTAATATATTAGCGAACTCTCCCAAAGGTGGGGCAAAAGTTCCCACAAAACTATTGTGCTTAAAACATCAGTGGTCTTCTGGCAGTTACAGAAACTACTTATTAGACACTGTGTATTTTTTTCTTATTACTGAAATTTTTATTTAGTGGGCTCATATAAGAACATATTTCATTTGTTCATACTTTCTTTCATATTATGTAGTAAAATTTGCAATTATTATCTTATAAATAACTGTACAAAACTGGCTATGTATTCCATTACAAATTTATAAATCTTTGATATTCTGTCCAGAATGATAAACACTTTGAACTGCTTTTTTTAGACAATGTATTTTAAAATCATTTTAGAATATGAATTGTGGCAAAAGTGGGTAGACTTATAAAACTGTCCCTGAGCTATAAATTCTAACAAAACTTAAGCTTCTAAAGTTCCTGAATAAATACAGCAAAACAGTAAAAGCAATTCTGAATTTGACCAGCAGGTAAACAGACATTAACCAGAACACTTGTATAAAAAGGTGACTTTGTTTAAAGAAATAATGCAGACTACCTGTTCACTAGAGAAGTATCCATGCACATATTCAATTGCTTTTAATTTGTATTCTGTCAAAACAGCCTAAAAAAATACAGAAAAATAGCATTAATATAATGTAATATAATGTAAGCATCACAGTAATATGCATACATAGAAATTGCCTAAGCAATTCAATACTGGCAGGTCTCCTTTAACCCTGGCACACAGAAGCAGCTAAGGTCAGCATGGTGACAAGACATTCTACTTTTCCAGGTTCCATATTGTGAGGGATACACTGAGTGAACAGGAAGCCCTCCCTACTCACTCCTATGAAGGGAATAAAACTGTAATAGATATGATTCAACATTAGTGGAAATTACATATAGAATTCCTGAATATGTGATTAAAGAGTTTCAAAAAATCCCAAATCCAACCAAATTTGTCATTTTTCAGATTGAATAACTACTATGAGCTAAGTCAGCAGTCCCCACCCTTTTTAGGGGGCACCAGGGATGGGTTTCATGGAAGACAATTTTTCCACAGGGGTGTCTGTGGGGGAGGATGGTTTCAGTATGATTCAAGTGCATAACATTTATTGTGCAGTCATACCTCTCTGCTAATGATCATCTGTATTTGCAGCCACTCCCCAGAGCTAGCTAGCATCATCCACCCCAGCTCATCAGGCATTAGATTCTCATAGGAAGAGAAACCTAGATCCCTTGCATGCTCAGTTTACAGTAGGGTTCACACTCCTATGAGAATCTAATGCTGCTGCTGACCTGACAGGAGGCGGAGCTTATGTGGTGATGCCAATGATGTGGAATGGGAAGTGGCTGTAAATACAGATGAAGCTTCATTTGCTTACCTGCTCCTCACCTCCTTCTGTGCACCAGGTTCCTAACAGGCCACAGATCTAACCAGGGGTTAGGGAGCACAGTGCTAAGTGACAGAGAAGCAAGGATAAGACAAAGTCTAGTTGAGGCACTCAGTGTTCTTACTGGGATATGAGAATGCAAGAAGTCAAAAGGCCCTGAATTCAATGTTTGTACCTGCCACTAACTGGCAGCGTGGCCTTTGAGAGGCATTTTAATTCCCATAGCGTTTCCTCACTCATAAAAAGGAACACCATTCACCACCTACCTCAAAGAGTTACTCTGAGGATTACAATAGTCAACATTAGATATGACATATAATAGATACTCAGTACATGACAGTTGCTTTCCTTTATGTCAGCAGGTGAAAAGAGAAGTTGGTGGCCTTGACCCAGCACTATCTAGAGCCAAAAAAAACCCACAAAAAACCCACATATGCTCCCCCTTGTGGCTATTTACCTAGCTTAGAGATGGAAACACCAGGCTATTATAACTTGATAGCCACTAATCATTAAAAATGATCTAATCCCTTTGCTTTAACTACAAAATAATTATATCTATACTTCCCATATATATCATTCTGCTAGGAGAAAATATTATTACCAGTCAATTGAAATACCCAGGCATTCAGTAGTTTAACTTTCACTGTAAAGGGGAGGAGATGGCATTCGGAATAAAGTACTCTTAGGAGTTTAGCATTATAATCATTGGACACAGTCAAATGCAAGTTTCTGAACCAAATCCTGAATTCTGTTGAGATGCTAAGTCACGCATCATTTATCAAAGAATTGATCAAAGAATTGATTGATTCTTTAATCGATCAATGCCTGAGAGGCCAGTTCTAACCCCAGGCATGACAGCATGGAGTTAAGGAGTCTCAGTGCCTGCGTTTGTATATTGGATCCTCCACTTACCAGCTGGGTAAACTTGAGCTGACTAGTTAACCTCACAGAGTGTAGGTCTACCTTCTGTAAAATGAGGAGTATAGTACCTACCTAATGGGTTGTTATAGGATAAAAACAAATAATGAATGGAAAAGTGTTTAGAATAGGCTCATAATAAGTGCTCCCTAATTATGGCTATTATTATCTCCTTTATGAAAAATAAATTAAGCATTGCCTTCTCCTGTTTCTTCTCCCCTTCCCATTTCTTTTCCTAGTGTCTTCTTAACATGCCTGTTTTAAATGATAGTAATGACAACTAGTATTAGCGATAGACCTACGGTGACATTGAGGTAAAGAGATGACTTGGTTTAAACTGACTTACATTTGCAAAGTCTAAGAGCAATTTTTTAAATTGCAGTAGTAATGCTCATATTTAGGTATGCCAATATTTTATTCTGTTTTAACAGATTAAGACAATGTTGCTATATCTAATCATTTGGCAAAGCCAGCCAAAGACATATTTTGATTACAGACCAGAAATATGGACTTAAGTTGCCATCTCATGTGAACATGACCTTCACATCTAGAAGATTTCCTATTCGCATTATTAGCATTTACTATGTGACATTTTGATAACACTTAGAGGGCAGAGAATATGCACGAAGATAACCTGTATTTTCCCAAAATAGAAATCTGCTGGTTTACTTGAATTCACAAATTATTTTCTCATATACAGTAGTTAAAAATCAGCTCATGAACAAGTTGTGACACATTTTAAGCACACTGTTAGCAAACCCACGTTTTATTTCAAATCTTAATTGGACAAATTGAGTTTGCAAAAGCAGACATTTGTTCAAATAAGAGCATTCAATATTATCAAATGTGAAAAATTAAACATGACAATTTGAAAAATAAAAAGCATTATAAAAAACAAAGTAAAACAAGCTCAGCGTTAGTTTTACTAATAACTTTGTAAGCTGAAATAAATAAGAACTCGAGTACATAGAAACAATTCCTTCCAGGTTAGTCAAGGGTCATAAAGACATGGAAATGTGGATAATAATTGCCTAGAAGGCCTAAGCAGCCCATGTTGATATAACAATGGTACAGTTAAGTCCTTTCAATTATAAACAGGAAACCTCTTATTTTGGGGCTTGGGATACTTTAAGCTCAAGACTACATTCCAAAATTTTTTCGGCCTGGGAGGTAGTATACAAATAACAACCTCAAAAAGCAAAAAAGCTCAGAAAGCAAGAGAAAAAAAATTTTTGAAATTCAGGTTATTTCCTTAGAATGTGACTTTAAACTTAATGCCATGCATCATTAAGACATTAATTTTGTCTGGCCAAAACAACAAATATATTCTGCCTACCCTTAGATTGGAAAAACCTACCATAAGAATAAATACCATAAAAGAAACTTTCTTCATGTTACCTCTAGTTTTCAGTCACTCTTGTGTTACTGAAACAAACTCAGAAATATTAAATCACTTATCCAAAACTACAGTGCTATTAAAGATCTACAAAGCCAGAATTGCAAACGAGAATTGCCTAATTTCGACAATACCCCACTGATTCTCAAGTATAGCCTTAACGTAACTTAATTGCTATTTGTATCATGAAATGTATCAAGATATAAACTCCCACATTACACGTGAACATTCAAAACAATGTGGCAACCCTTAGGATCCTTATTTTGCGCAATCTACACAAAGTGCGTCAAAGAGAATAAATCATGAGAATTCGTATCTCAGAAAACGATTTACGGAATGGAGTGTCATTACCTTTCTGATTTCATCCAGCACCGTTTCAAAGGACTTTTTGTCCATCTTGACTACTATATCGACGTAGGTTTAACAGTTACACGTTCAATCACAAAATGTTCATCCCTGGTCTTCCCCGCTGATGGTAAAAATGTTTATAGCTGAGAAGGAACAAGACTCCACGAGCAGGAGAAAGGATGCAAAGAGGTAGAGAGTACTGCAAACTCTGCAAAATTTTCTAAAAACGGAGACTTACAAAAACTTTATTAAAAACAAAAATCACTCCCGTCGGGTTTCCCTAGCTTCTTCACACAAAGCTTTAGGGCAGCCCGAGGGAGGGCTCCATTCTCCGAGTCCCGCAGAGAAATCCAGGAGCTTGGTGTCCAGGGCTGCGGGCCGTCTGCTGCAGCTGCGGGCCAGGTGGCGCCAGGGGAAGGTCTTGAAGCCGCTTTCCCAGGAGGAGAGGCCGGGAGGGCAGAAGCACCTGTCTCGGGAGCCCTGAGGGAGGCGGGGAGGGAGGCGCCGGCTTCTGGGCCCCCACCACCGCCTCGGCGCCGGCCGCGCCTCTCACCGCCGCAGACCCGGACTCATGGCTCGCCTCGTGCTCACCCCTGGCCGCTGCACCTGACTAGTGGGTCCCTCGGCCTGGGCAGCAGGCAGCTGGGCAGGCTCTTTGTTATCAGCGGCCGCGGCTTCCGGGAACCGGCCGGCTGCGGGAGACAACCGGGAGGGGGGCAAAGAGGGTCACAGCCTCACGTAGGGTGACTCCCGAAAGCCACAGCCCGGACAGCGCCAGGAGCCCAGCAGGGTTTCCCCTCTAGCCCCCACCAGCTCAAATGGACCTACAATAAAGCACGTCGCGCCCGAATAAACTCAACTACGCGCCGCCAGCTTGGGCCGCTCTTTCCTGAAAGCCACTGGAGGGGTCCTGGTGTGGGAACATAGGCATCCACCGCGGATGCCTAGATGTCTCGGAAAAGAATATGGCTAAAATCCTTGCCAGAGCCTGGAAGTCATTTTTTTGAGTGCCACTCCATTACACTTCGTGTTTGGGTGTGCCGCGCTTCTATTGTTTAATCTGTATTAAGAGAAAAACAACAGCAATCGTTTAAGGCATATCTATGGGCGCCCCTATTTTGAGGGCCGGGAGAAGTCCGCGTAGTGGACAGCCCCGAGGGGCGGGGGAAGGGTGGTCACTAGGTCGGCTCGAGGCACCTGACGAGGGTGTGGGGACCAGAGAAGGCGCAGGGCATCCGGAGTTGGTCTTCTCTGATTCTCTTTAGCTCTGGTCTCCGCTCGCTTCCGTCCTCAAAGCCCGCTCCTCCAGGGAGGGAAGACTGGCGATAGGGGGTTCAGCCTAGGCTTCTGGGCGGGCGCTCTGTGCAGCAGCGAACCGCTCGGACCTGAGGGTGTCCGGCCCCCTCCACTCACTGGCGGACCCTCCTCCTCACCCCTCGCTTGGCTTTCGGTCTGGCCATGGCGAGATTCTGGGTCTGCGCTGCCGGTGCCGGCTTATTCCTTGCGTTCCTGGTTTTGCATTCGCGTTTTTGTGGCCCTCCAGTGAGTTGAGTAGTGAGGAAGTGACTGTTGGGTGTGTGGATGGCACTGTTGGGAGGTGACGCTGCGGTATGGGGATGGAGGAGGCGGGTCCTGCACCCTCGTTATCTTGTCTCAAAGTCTGCACCTGGGACCGAACTGCCGACGTGTTTTCCTTAGTTCTTAAATGTTAAAAAGTTTGTATATGGTGCATCGCCACTATGCTTATTTTTTCGTGTTTCTTATCTCCTACTACACCCTCAAATAATTTGCAGGTTTGTCTTGGGGTCTTCTTGGTCTTTAGACTTACAAGCCCATTTCTTTAGAATTATTTCAGTCCAGCAAACTAATGGTTGTCAAGAAATGCCCTAAAAAAAAAAAAAAAGTCCCCCCCTCCCCTTTTTCTTTCTTACTTGGAGAGTAAACTGAATCTTAATCTCCCGATTTTATTTAAGGTTTTAAGGAACTTTGCTTTTCAAATTTCCTGGAGAACTGAGAAAATTCTTTACCGGCTGGATGTGGGTTGGCCTAAGTATTCAGAGTATTTTACTGGAACAACATTTTGTGTTGCAGTTGACTCCCTCAACGGATTGGTTTACGTAGCACAAGTAAGTAAAATAGGGATTTAACAAATATATATATGAACATTACGAAGGAGACAGTAGCCTTACTGTAATAACTAACCATATGCATTTATATTATGCTAATTGTACAATTTATTTTTGAGTTGGTTTCGAGTAAGTATTTTGGTCTTGAATGTGAAAGATAGTAATATTGTTTGTTGGGTTTTGAGGTTGATTTCTCAAATGTTACCGAATTTCTCAATTAACTTTAATTTTTGTTTGTCTTTGCCAAAATAAAGAATACATTTCTTTAAAACTGATCCCATCTAAGAAGTTATTTTTGTATACCTTCAGAGAGGGGATAACATCCCAAAGGTATTAGTGTTCACAGAGGATGGATTTTTCCTTCGATCCTGGAATTATACAGTTGATACACCTCATGGTATATTTGCAGCCAGTACACTACATGAACAATCCGTCTGGATCACGGATGTAGGAAGTGGTATGTGTAGTAATATCTATTAAATTATATTACTAAAAATCATATCTTTGCCCCTGTTCCTGCTTGTGCGATTTAAAATCAGAGTTGCTGAAACTAATAGTAATTTCTTTAATGATTCATGAAATAATGGTTTTTAAAAATCTTTATATTGTACTTCTGCAAATCAGGAAATTTAACAAGGACTGTAATCATGATCTTTACTTGAACTTAGTTGTCAAGGGACTTTTCCTCTTTAAAATGTGAGTTGCTCTTCTCAGATTAGATAACTCTAAACCTCTTCAATGAAGCCAAATAAAATGGCAGTCTCTAAAAGGGAAATAATGGAATCCTTGACTCTCATTTTCCTTTACCAGTTCTCTTTCAAAAGAGATTGTGCTTGGAAAAAAAACAACAACCCATAATTGCCTTTTTGCCCAAAGCGCAAAGATTTTCAGAAGCTGATTTTAATGTTTTTGAAATTCCACTCACTGAAGCATGTCTGAAATCTTTCCTCTATCAAATATTCTTAGCGAAAAATGAAGTGAACACAATTGAATTTTTAGCTATGGAGGAAGTTTTCAGAGAAAGTTATTCACCTGGGTTGTGGCTTAAGACAAGCCAGTACCCAAGAGAGGTGGTCATTACCCTAGAAAGTCAGGAAGGAATGGGATTATAAGGACAATATTTCTAGTATTCCTTGGCCCAGTTCTTCAATCCAAGGACTTCCTCTTTCCATAGGTCTGGCTCATTCAGATACTATTTTGGGGAAATAATGAGGTCTCAGTTTTTATAAGTAGTGTCTATTAACACATCTGTTCTCAGAAACCGAAAGATTTCTGGGCCTCAGCTGATGACCTGTTTTTTAAAGCTGTATTTTAGATGGTAGGATTCTGGTTAAACCAAAAAATCTAGATTATCTCTGAGTTCATTGTAATGAGATTCAACTTTTTTCCCCTCCCCTCCCCCCCAGGATTCATTGTTAAAGGTGTGTCATTCTATTCATGTGATCCTGTATGATTTCAGTGACTTCTAGAAATAAAAAGAGTACAAATGATTGCTTCTTTCTTCCCCTTATAACTTGTTTTCCTACCCACAGATCTGAAGACAGTTTTTATGTTCTCATTTTACAAAGGAATAAATTTTCTCTAATCAAAAATATGGCTACAAATCAGCTGTTTTCTAAAAAACATTATTTACTAGTATTCTTTGACTTTTTTTTGCTAATTCTTTGGAAACTTTGAAGTTTATGTGTTCTTGTTACTATACACTTTAGACAAGTGTCCATATCAAGTATTTGATAAATATGTTTTTGAAGATAGAATTGTAATGTGAACTGATTCACTTTATTTCTGCTAAGTTTAATGTATCCGGTTTGTCTTTTGAACACCTGTCAGTTAGTTTGGTCTTGCATACATTTGTGTTGATTTCTGTTAACTGCTTTATGATTTTCCCTTATTTATTAATAGTCTACTTTAGGCTTTTGTTTGTAAGATAATTTTAACTCAAAGAAATTTTAATGTGAGAAAATAAGATAGTGATCTGGAAAGATTTACTTCCTTCTTAGGAAAGAAAAGTTGAGGGGCTGAGTTTTGAATTTGTTTTTATTAGGAGAAAATGTAGTTTAAAAAAAATCAGTACCATAGAGAATTTTTTGATGACCTACTGAAATTTAAGATCTATATGTGAATGACTGAAATAACAGTTTCAAATATGTTCTTTCTTTTATGATTTATTCTTGATTTTACAAATAATCTTATTCTCAAGGTCATTAGATTAAAAAAAATAGTACACCAATAATTTGATAACATCATGAGGTTTCTGTGTAATGAGTCAAATTGAGGGGTTTATTTATTTGAATTTAGAATCTACTTGTTTTAGAGTAACAGATTTTAATTCATGAACAAATTTGGCTATAACTTATGAAGAAGCTTTTTTCCTTGTCAGTTATAACATTTAATTACCTAAGCCCATAAACCTTTTATTGCTGTTTAATTCTTATCAAATCTTTGCTCTTGGCTTACTTGAAAAATGTGAATGTTTGTACAGTGATATTATTTGTAAGATGTGCATATCTCTCTTTACAGGATCCTATGGTCATACTGTTAAAAAATACAATTCCTTTGGTGATCTTGTTCAAATCTTGGGTACCCCAGGCAAAAAAGGCACTGGTTTGAATCCCCTGCAGTTTGATAATCCCGCAGAATTATATGTAGAGGACACAGGAGATATTTACATTGTGGATGGAGATGGAGGCTTGAATAACAGATTGATCAAACTGTCCCAAGGTACATGGCCTAATTTTCTATGGCATTATAAGAATATTATAAATTGGATTTAATGTATTTGATACTTGGTATAATGTTGTAACAGTGTTGTGTATGAAACTGTGTGTAAAGAGCTGAAGTGTATTACTAGGAGAACACTAGAAAAAAGATGGGTGGGATTGCCAACAATAAATGATTCTGATAACAGACCTGCTAATTCTTTACCAAAGGCAAGGAGATTCCTCAACAGGAGCTGGAGGCAGAATGCAAATTTAAAGTGAGCTTAAGAGATAAGTGGGTATCCTGTCCAGTTAAGAATCGAGAAGTAAGGAATCCAGAATGCCAGAGTCAGGTATCCTAGAGGCTGATTAATCAGCAAGAATCTGGTTGAGTGCCTTCTCTGTGTCCTCTGAAGTATCACGAGGTGCAGGTCTATTGTGTATGAAACGACATGTCATCTACTGTACTGATTCTTAAAGTAAGACAGGAATTAGGAGGAATAACTAAATTGACCGGAGAAATAGGACAAGATTTCATGATGGCAGTACTTGAACTAACCTGGTTTTGGTGGGAGGTGAGAGGGATGAGGGGAACTTCATGGAGGCTTTATCATGCATGGTTCACGGATGGTTATTAGGAAAGGAAGTGAAGATGCACTTTTTGAGCAGTGGAAAATAAAATTTGGGATGTCCTTGCAAGCTTATTTGAGGATTTTTAGAGGCATATTTTTGCCTATAAAGTGTCTTTGAGGTTTTTTTAAGGAGGACAGCAATGTTACAGAAGCAGAGTTTTTATAAGACATAATACTATATCAGTATCTATTTTGAGTAAGCTCTGTCATTTGGAGGCTATGTAATTAATTTATCACTTAGTAACTGAATTTGGTAACACGTAAAGCAGGTAGGTAGGGTGAAGATAAGCAAGAATGTAACAAATTCTATGAAAGAAACAACCAAATTTAGGAGACAGATTGAATATGGCTGTATTAGTTTCCTGTGGCTACCATGACAAATTGGCACAAACCAAATGGTTTTAGACAATAGAAATTTATTTTCACCGTTTTGCAATCCAGAATCTGAAATCTGGTAGGCCCTGCTCTCTCTAACGGCTCTAGAGGAGAATGCCTTGCGACTTCTAGCTTCTGGTGGCTCAGACATTCCTTGGTTTGTGGCAGCATAACTACAGTCTCTGCCTCTGTCTTTGCATGGCCTCCTTTTCTCTGTGTG